TTGATGTGAGTGCATCGATTGATTTCGAAACATTTTATCCAACCGAACCATACGACGAGTGTCAAATCACCAACGAAACGTATTGGAAAATAATTGACGAATTTTATGGACATGTAAATCTGATATCGTTCTATTTTATACATCCTTACACACCGAATGCTTCGAAGTTCGAACTATCGACCAAATTACTTGAGCAGATTCCAAAAAGTATTCATGTTTCAATTGAAGTAGTTTTTGTTCTCAATCCAATTATTTCTGATTATAATTTTGAGTATTTTAGGACTAAACTGCATGGTAACATATCAAGTGATTGACACAGAGTGTGGGCGCGTGATGTTATCATCAAATCGATTGAAATTCTCGAATATTATAAGGAATCAAATGGATTTGGGTGTGTTTATTATTGCGGAGAACATATTTTCAATTGAAAAAATCCTTTTTCTCTTGCCTGAATATTTGGCCGACGTGGAACGACGGAAGACTATTATAGCAATAAAAAATACAACTGATATTCAATTCGATAGGTATAGACATTAGATACAATAGTATAATGAATAGTATAGCGTTGGCAACGCTGCGTATAAACGTATAGACGCTGCGTACAGGCACTGCGTATAGAAAATGCGTTCAGACGATGCGCCCAGACGTGATATCATATCCATTTGAAATGGACCATTTCTATTGTATAAATTTATTTTTATACATCGTAGAATTTGAAAATGTTATCATATCTATTTCTATGGTTAATCTATTCTATATATTTGACGTTGCGTTCAGACGCGTAATCGTAGCGTTACCGCAGCGGATAGGTAAACCCTCCCCCTCCGCACACTAGTGGTATAGACGCTGCGTTTAGGCGATGTTGTACAATGTACATACTATTTAGTATCCTATGCTATACTTCCAATGTATGTAGGTATACCGTCGATATTTTAACAAAACTTTGGGATCAAGTTCGAATCTCAAATGTTGTTATGATAACACCATGTTATAATGATCCGGAGGTTGGTGTCACTTCCATTATTATGCATTTCATTGTTCAATTTGTCATTAAAAATATTTGTTTTCATAGATTCTTCGCACATATTTTCCATTCGAATCGATAACAACATACGACAATTACTCAAGCTGGGGAATGTGTAAATTTTTGCCAATCAGCAATTTAAGCTTGTCAAGCATTAATTTAATGGCCAAATTGAAGAATTTCAATGGTTTTCCTATGCGAATTTCATTTTTCTGGCGATATCCAACATCAGTGAAACTGAACGAATTATCAAAAGTGTCGCAAGATTCATATATTATAAAAGACATATGGCGATCGAATAACTTTAGTGGTGTTGATGGATTAATGCTGGCAAGTGCTGTAAAAAAGTTCAATTTCACACCGATTCTTGTTAAACCAAGTGGAGCTGATTTTGGATATAAAGCGCCAGATGGGAAATTTTTAGGTGAGTTGTTTTCAAAATCATTAAATTGTCATCATTTTCATCGTTAATGTGCGTTAAATTCTATAATAGGAACAATTGGCGAAGTGTTGTCTGGAAAAACTTATGTTGCATTCATCGGCCACTTTCTGAACGATTACGGAACTGATGAAATTGAATACATGTTTCCATATTTCTTTGATAAACTTTGTGTCATTGCGCCGAAAGCACCGAGAATTCCTGAGTGGATGGCAATTTTCCAGTGTTATGACATAACCGTTTGGCTTTCGTTACTTGTAATGAATTCTTTATGCGGTTGTTTTTGGTTTCTTTTAAAACGAATTAGGTTCGGTAATAAATATGTCATTCCATGCAATGTTTAAATATTCATTTCCAACGTAATGAATTAATAAAACAACATTTCGATAGAGACCCAGTAGAAAGACGGATACAAGTAAAAACACGCAAACAGAGCAGCTCATTGGGTAGTGTTTTCATTAATATGTGGTTTGTAATGGTATCGGGACCGCTGAGAAAATTACCGTATGGAAAAATCGAACGTATATTCTTAGCCACATGCCTTTTTTCAAATGTCATTTTCATCGGAACATTTCAGGTCGGGTTATTATATTCATTTTTGAATCCAAACACAAATTTTATCTGTGGTTTGACATCATTTTCCAATTTAAAAAGCTGAAAATGTGAGTTTCAATTACTTTGCAGAGTTCGTTGAAAACCGCATTCACCACTATTACTCACTTTAACGATATACACACATTAAAACAATTGGACGAGCGCGGCTTTGCAATTGGCACATCGTCCGGATCATTGAAAAAAGTATTTGGATCAATGGAAAATGTATTTGGGTCACAAAATTTTAGCAATCCAGTTATTCGATCGTTAAAAAGTAAATACAAATTTATTAATTCAACAAAACCGGCTTTGGATTTGGTCGCTTACGACAAGAATATTTGCTGCATTGAACGATTGACAGATGTTAAAGTGATTCTAAGCGTAAGTTGATCGATTTGAAAGGAAATTTATTGAAAAAATACAAAGTTTGGATTGAATGGACGTTTTAGTACAAATACCGAGCGAATGATGGAAGCTCTCCCATCCATATTATAGAAGAATGCCTGCGAACAATTTATATGGCTTACATTGTTAAGAGAGGATCGGCGTTACAGCCATTGTTTAGTAATCATGTTCAACGACTTTTTGAAGGTGCTTGTTAATCTTGACATTTTTTTTATAATCAAAACTTTAAATGTTCTTTTACGTATTAAAGGAGGTATTGTGACATTTTGGTATGATTTTATCGAATACACAATAACAACGCATCGCCGTTACACTCGATTAATGACCAGAGTTGATCAAGCGTCATTATCATTGATCGATCTACAAATTGCATTTTTTATTCATTTTATTGGTTTGTGCCTTGCTTCCATTTTATTTATAATTGAGGTTTTTTATTCGCAAACGCAGGCAAGGCGAACTAATCAAGTACGAATTGGTTATTGATGCAATCAATTAATTAAATACAATCTTAAAAATGTTTTTAACGCATTCACAATAAATAATAACATTGTAACATTTAGCACTTTATTTGATGTAATTGGTGCTAGTGTGAAACTTACATGGTGCAATAAGTTTTCAACACTATCCACTAATTTGATAGATTGTAATAAAATATTATTATATAAATATATAAAAAAAAGCACAAACAATAAAATTGATGATAATAATAAATTAAATACGGATTCAATTGCATTTTTAAGCGAAATGTCTGAGCAACTAGCATCGATGCGAACAAATCAAAATTTAGCCACATCAAGCACTATTCCACGAAACAAAAAAAGAACAAAAGAAGAATAAGAAGAAGGCCGAACAAATTGACTACTAGACGTGATCTTCTCTATTCTATATTCTTAGAGCGAGAGCCACCGTGCAAATTGCTTTTTTTTATGTACGGCAGATTTTTATGAAATTATCATCTTCACACTGTGTACTATCCGAATAATATCACTTTTTTCCAAAATGTGTAGTTACAGTAATTTAATTACAATAAAAACTTGTAAATCTCATTTTTTTGCCAAGCTTCATAATCTCAGCAAATTTGAAGAAACTTCAATGCATAGTAGGGGTACTTCCCATACAAAATTTTGAGCGAAAAATCCAAAATTTTGTATGGGAGGTCCAAATGTGAAAAAATCCTATTTTTCGACTTTTCAACCCGATTTTAAGGTACAAGGGGTGCTCTGGGGGTTCAGGAGGTATGGTTTTCTAGGACTACTTTTTCGTGAGGAATCCAAAAATGTGGTCAATTTTGGGATTTGGAAGGTTTTTGACCCCATTTTTGTCATTGCCATAATGGGTTACATCTGGGGTCATTTTTACCCCCAAAGAGAGGTCACTGACCTTTTTGCGTCGTTTAAAAGATATAGATGACCGTAAATAACACAAAAAGGGGATTTTTGGTACTTCAAGGGGGCATCTAGACCCCATATGAATTTGGGGAAACATTTTAGAGGGAAAATGTCTTATTTTGGACCCCTCTATCACATCCACCAGGAGTTTTGGAAAAAAATTGTGGAACACTGGAGAGGTTTACTGGTAAGCTAGGGGGAATTATCTATATGTTTATACGGTTTATACGCAAGTATTTTTTACTGAATATACTACAAATAGATGAAGACATCGCAAGTATGCCGCATATACGCTGCATATTTGCGTATAAACCACATATATACGGAGTTATTTGCAAATATTATTTGCAAATATTCTTCCGTATATGCGGTTTATATTCTTATACGCAGCATATTCGTAACTTATTTTATTCGATATTTTCCCCTAGCTGGTAAGACATTAAAACATAGGTGGCCGCTTGAGTTCATACATTTTTCAAATTTCGCCAAATAAAACAATGTTGGTTTTTAAAAATGTGCATATCGGCTCAAAATTGAGTGCGCTTTCGATCTATGATGAAAAGATATACATTTTTTCGAGATAAATGACGATTAACTTCGATTTTCTTCGATTTTTTCCCATTTTTCGAGGTCTAGTCATTCTGATCTAACCTTTTCCGCTGAATATTTTTTCAAAATGTCTTTATTGCTTCATCAAGATGATTTTTCATAATGTCTTTCCAATAAGCTAAGAATGACGTGATTCTGTTAAAAAACACCCCGTACACCTGTGATCAAAACAGTGTGTCCATAACATATAGAAATAGCACTAAATAGTATCGATATCTATACTATATCGGTGCACTATATATGGAAGATATTTCCACAAGACACCGTAACTCACGATCGAAGTCAGTGCGGACGGCAAACATGTTGACGCATACACACAGTTCTTTCTACTGCCGCACGGCAACTTGTGATTTCTGCCGTCTGCACTCACTTCGATCGGGCGATACGGTGCCGTGCGGCAATATCTTCCATATATAGTGGACCGATATAGTGTACATATCGACACTATTTAGTGCTATTTCTATGTATTATGGACACACTGGATCAAAAATGGCCGAAAAAAAATTGGAACTTCGGAATGAAATTTCTTTTCCGCACACACCTAGTGTGAGAAACAATCGACTATTGTGGGTAACAATTTATCTGATTCAATATCATCATCGGTGAATAATAAACGCATCTCTATGGTGTCATATTCCTTTTCATTTCGCTGTGCCGTTGCATTCGCACTAGCTTCACTTGAATCCGAATGCGACACTACAACCACATCATAATATCCATTTAAATCCATATCAGTCTCGGGTATATCGTCACGTTCAGCGTCGTAAAATACGTTTGAATTTTTCAACAGCCAATTATGTTGGGTTTCGTCTTCGTCGCGATCTCGAAGTAATGGAATTAGTGAACTATAATAATTACCAAATCTGGATAGTGCCAATTTGTATGAACCTTCGCCATCGGTTGTAATAAATAATACTTCCCAGGGAATCTTTCACATGCTATGAATGCGGTTTTCAAATCGCCATTGTTTTCATCAATGAAATGAATGCTCACAGCTATATATGAACGGTTTTTTCTCGACCACATATCTGAAGTAGCACTTAGGTACTTGATATTTCTGAACAATTTTATCAGGTCCTGCCGATGTGTGTCAGAAAATGCCCAAAAAGTAAAAAATTAGTTCAATCATATGATTTGTTCTACACAAGTGGACTCTCTTTTTCATCGCCAGTTATTAAAGCTAACAAGAAAAACTTACTTCGATCTTTTTTCAGGCTGTTTTTCTCGACAAAAAGTACTTTGGTTCATCTTTGGTGATTCTGCCGTTACATAAACAAACTATAAATGAAAGGATCGAGTACTATCTGTCAAAATATTTCCCCCTATGCCAAGCGAAATTAATTCGATATACGGCGCTGATGTAAATGTCACTCTGTCATTTCACAATAATACTTTTTTGGCTTGACAATATATAAGCTCTTCATTTAAAATGCAAACTCATTCATAATTATTGAATCGTTGAAAAAAAACATGTCATAAAATATTTTTCTAACATTTTTCATTAAAAAATTTATTAAATTTTTTTTTTATAAAAAAATTAATTTGTTTATAAATTACAATAATTTCAACAAAAAATGTTTCATCGATTAAATAAGAATCCAATGTAAATAGTAATGACAATGCGACACCTACCGTAAAAATGCAAAAAGAAACTTAGTTGGTATCCATTGTAGCATTTTTGTCCACCATGACAGCATCTTCGTTTTACTTGACCAATCACAGAGAAGCAAAACGAAGATGCTGTTATGGCGGACCAAAATGTTACAATTCCAAATAAGTTTCCTTTTCTATTTTAACGGTAGGTGTCGCATTGGTATTACTTTTTACATTAGATTCTTGTTCAATCTATGAAAAAAAATTGAAATTATTGTTATTTTTAAACAAATAAATTTAAAATGTAGAGAATTTTTATGATAAACGTAAGAAGAATATTTTATGATATGTTTTTTTTTTTTTTACTCGACCGTTCAAAAATTATGCATGTTGAATGAAGAGCTTATATATTGTCAAGCCAAAAAATGTATCATTGTGGAATGACATAGAGTGACATTTAACCCTTAACCGCACAGGCTAAAACAGTAACGTAAGCGGTGGGGTCTTTTTGGACCCATGAGGAATTTCATACAAAACTTATGCAAAATGGTATCCAATGAGTAAAATATGTCATTTTATAGTTTAACCATAGCTTATTCCTTACTTTCCAATACAGCATCACAATTTAATATTGATTTTTATGGAAAAAAAATCAATTATAGCCAAAATGCTTCGTAGTTATTGATATGTACGACTTTCAGACAGTCGTGTCTTTCACTAATATCGCTAATCGACAGTCGTTGGCCAGTTAATGTGCTTCGTGTACTGTGCCGAACTACCTCTCGATATGTGAGATCAATATAGAGACTGCTTCCCGAAGGGCGATCGCACTTTGAACACTGTAGCTCTCTGGCATTTATAAGTTCAACCCTATGTAAACATTTTTCCTTCCTCTTCTTCTGCATTTGCAAGAAGCATGTGTGATATATCAGCTTACCACTGAGACACCAGGTGGCAGCACATTTGCGTGATCGAAACCAATTACATTGCTTTATATGGAGTGCGATGAGATCGCGCTGCTTCCGTTCTTCCTCCATACTTGGCAAACATGTTGTTAGACGTTCGCAACAAGGCAAACCCTGCCACACCAGCAACGTTCACCAAATTCACGAAATATGCCCATACATTGTGTTTTGGATAGGATAGATCCGTAAGATCTCCGCAAGAGCTGGATCTAAGCGTGCGTAGGCCGCCGCATGATACATACTTTGATTGGCACGCCTGCTTTGATTTGCGCGTCGAAGCAACACAGAAAAACGAACGGATATATCATGCGGCGGCGTATGCACGCTTAGATCTTACGGATCTATCCTATCAAAAAAAAAACAATGTATGAATATATATTATAATGGCAAATGCCATTTGATTTGCGATGAACAGTATACGTCACGGACGAAACAATTTACTGTGTTGTTGTTTGATGAAATGTAAATTGTTGTGTCAACAAATCTCCATGAGTTTCATATTGGCCCATACAGAATACATCATTTCCCATACAAAATACTTTGGGGTCCAAAAGACCCCGTTGTGCTTTTACGTTAGTATTTTGTATAAGACTTCCCAAAACTTCATCTATGCACCAAACATTGAAATTTTTGATTTTATCACATAGATATGATATTAAAAAAGAAAACGCTCAGCGAAATTTTCCAATTTTTTTAAATATTTTTGTGATTTTTTCAAAAAACTAACTCTTAGGGCCTAAGAGACCCCACGTGTGCGTTTGAGGGTTAACAGGCCGGCTGAAAAGTTCGTAGGCTAACATAGTAAAACACATTTTTTTGGCAAA